ATCTTACTTATCTTTCAGCTTTTTTCATGGTGTCTCTGGCCATATAGAAATCTGAAATTTTAATATAATGAAATTTGTTCACTTTTTCCATTTGTGTTTTCTGAATCTTAAGAAATTCTTTCTTGATCTGATATTAAAAGTATTTTCTTCTAATATTTTAAAAACTTTATGAATTAAAAACCTTTAGTTTTAAAATGTTTTGGAATTTATTCACAATATTTTCTGTTATTTTGTGTATGACATAGAGCTCTAATATTAATTTTCTAATATAAAGAGCCAACTTTTTGTGACACTATAGAGCAAACTTCCAATAATTGATGCACTTATTTGTAATTGTCCCATCATGTACCAAAAATGCATGGACCTCTTTCTGGACTTGCTGATTTATTCCATTGATCTTTGCAGCCCAACACCTCTATAATGCTATTTTATCTTGTATTTTAATGTCTGTGGTTTAAGTTCCTCTTCCTAGCATTCTATCTCAAAATTCTTCTGACTGCTTTTGGTTTTTTAAAAATGAATTATGGTTCATCTTTTAATAAACCACTTCCTCTCTACCTCCTTCAAGAAAGTCTTTTCCCCCATCCCATCCTTTGCAAGGCTATTGACCTCACAGGTTCCTGCCCTGACTCTGCTATAGAATGGCCATCTATTCTTGGGTTACTCTCTTGACCTCTCTGAGTGTTAGCTTCCTTCCCTGCCAAATATGTTTTACCTCTTTCAGGGTGGCTGAACTGATCAGGTTCAATCAGAGTGCAAGAATTCTTTCAAATGTGCAAAATCGTAGTTTCAGGATGGCCTGCAACAATGTGAAATTGGAGTGTCTGTCCCCCAATTTTTCTTCCTCTCCTGTCTTTCCTTTGCCCCAGACTTCCAGTGCTGACATACAAATGTGTCCTCTCTGGACGAAAGAGTGGGTTACAGGCAACTTGACTTATAAGGCTTGGATTCCACTTCACACTTGCATTTGGTAATTTAAGGTAAGGTGCTCAAATATTTCAGCTTTTCCATCTTTACACGGGACATAATAATTCTTTCCCCTACATACTGTTGTGAAATTCAAAAGAAATAATGTGAATAAAAGTGCTTGGAAAATGTGAGGCCTTGTAAGAATCATGGGCTTGCTGACATTTACCTGAGAAAAATTACTTGCAGAAGGCCGTGATGTTCAGTGTGTGAGTGACTTTCCTTTCGTCACCTGAGTAAAAGACTGTAGAAGAATAAAATCCATTTTGTCTTCAAATATGGCTGACCTAGTGCAAAGCCTATACATTTTCCTAGAAGATACAGAAATCCTCTTCCTTAAATACCATTTCCTTTAGGCTCTGCTGCCTGGGTGTGTGGAGAGGTAGAAGTGGTTGGGCAGTTCATGACGTCTCTGTAGACAAAGCAGCAGAACTAGCCTTATGCAGATGCTGGGCTCAGAGCTGACCTGAAAGAGGAAGAACTTTGGGGATGGAGATGTGGGAACAAGTCTGTCATTGTCCCTTTTTGCTGACTGCAGACCAGCATGACTGATCTCAAAGTGTGCCCATCATTTGAATGTTGCAGCCATCATTCAGTTTCAATGCATACTGAGGTCAGTTCTGATATCATGTGAAAGCACCTCCCCTGTAGTGAGCATATGGCTCTCCCCTGCATATTTCTAGCCCTTGCTAGTCACACAACAGGAGCGTCTCTAGCCCCTGTGCCGGGATCTGACTTGGGCTCGGTCCAAATGACACTCATGGGCCAGATGATACAACACTATAACCCACTCACTCAATCTAATATAGAAGGTACTTTTCCCTGGTAATTAAGTTATTGTCCTTTCCTTAATTCTGTTGACTAAGATTTCTTATCTGTTCTTTAGCCACCTCTATGGTTAAACCTGGGTTCTACTCTTTAACCACCAGTACCTACTAGAAGATGTTGGAGTCCTTCTAAGCCATTACCATAACTACCTACTCTGCCCTCTGGCTCTTTTAGTGGCCTCTGTAGATTGAACAGAGCCCTGGATTTTTGACTTGGGTTTGAATCCTCATCCTTAGAATTCATGATCTGCTTGTTTTAAACTCTGGAGTTCCCACAATTCCTGGTCCAATCTCATTTTCCTACTCTATCTTATCCCTGCTTATTCTTGCTCTCATATTCATAGGAACTCAGGGATTTCTACACTTTCTCCAGGGTCTTGCTTTTGAACCGCATGACTCTTCATGATGATTCTTCAATTTTGAGCCTAGGACCAGACTTTGAGATCAATCAATCAAGTTTCATTCCAGATAGACTATTGCTGATATTCTTTATTTTTTTCACATGAAAACACGATGCTTAGAAATAGTTGCTGTAGTGATAGTTGTGGTTGTCTGCTTGGGTTCTCTTTCATGAATGAAGGACATGTTATCCTAGTTATTGGGAATCGTGCTTGGCAAGAAAAAAGTGGACTTGGTTACTTTTTCTTTTGTTAAGGTGAGAATAGTTTGTTGAAAGTTATAGATATGATTATGAGACATGGGATCAAAGGTATCGGTGTCCTGGCTATTGGTGAAAGTTAACTCAGCACCCCAATAAGGAATTCTCCCATTTTTAGTACTTAAAAAATATTCTTATCCTGAATTTTGTTGGAAGCAAATATAGTAAAATGCCTTTGTCACTGATGTGCTTATAAACCCACTGAACACAATTGTTGTAAAGGAAAGCTATGAGACTAAAATGGGATAAAAATACAATTTCATTTGGCTCCTTTGCCCTCCTAGTGGATAACCAATGCCACTGCTACTTCATTAACTGCTCTGGGTTAAGAAAAGCTGAGCTGACCACAAAATATAACAGCAATAGCACAGTAATAATAAAGACTACCTGCTATACTTATCTAGCATAGTATGATTTTCAATGTAATTTCTAACTTCTTGTTTGAGCCCTAAGTTCTCAGTAGTTAAATAAAAAAACCAGAGAAAGGAAGAGTTGAGTTTTCTGTACTCAGTTTACAGATGAGGAAAACATGGCCTCCCTTGAGTCTAAATTCTCTTATCATCACAGCAGTTAGCCTCAGGTCTGGTGCTGGGAACTGGTTTCCATATCAAGGTCTACAACAGCTCATTGCTTCTGCAAGTTCAAGTCACCCAACACAGGGTCAAATACCATCTCCAATCTATGGTTAAGAAGTTATTTTTGCATGAAGTAGAAAAATAAAGTCATTGAAGATTTGTTCATTAACTTTAGTTTAGAGAAAAGTAGACTAGAAGGGGAAAGACGACTGTAACAAATCTAGAAATGAATTCCCAACTGTGACCTGTCTACTAGGATTTGTGATACTGGCTGCTGTATTACTCAGAAAACCAGTGTATGAGTATGTGTTTGAGTATGTGTGTGTGTGTGTGTGTGTGTGTGTGTGTGTGCGTGTGCATGTGTTTGCTTTCCTCTTTCTCCTTCTTTTTGGGGCTCTATTTATGCTTTTTGGAGAAATTTCCAGAAACTTTCTCCAGGGTCTTCTTCTGGAGATGAAAAACTTCTGTAAAACTACATCAGCAACATCAATGCTACTTGCCCCTCCACACCGAGGAAATTTGAAAGATGGCATCTTGAGAACCCAGTGTGTTCTGCTAACCCCCAGCACTGGTAAGTTGTTCCAGTGGAGAAAAACTTTGAGTTTTAGAGCCTCAGTACTAGTGTCTTGTTACTTTAATCATGAGGGCATATTGCTGGCTTAGAAGTTGCTAGAAGTTATTCAGAGCTGTTGATAAGTCAATTTTCCCTGCTCTATGATTGAGGTATGAGTTCCTATGAAGAATTTCCCCAGCAAGGGGTTGGGGATTTAGCTCAGTGGCACAGCGCCTGCCTGGCAAGAGCAAGATCATGAGTTAGATTCCCGGTACTGGAAGAAAAACAAAAACAAACAAAGAGAAAGGATTTCCCCAGCAAGACTTTTTTTAACACTATGATTTTTCCTAATAACCCAAGCTGTATATTCTCCTATCATATGGTGGAGTTGTTGGGAAGTAACCGCCATCAAAGGACCTCATGACTTCTTCCATCAGTGAGAGGCTCATATGACTAATTTTCACCCATGGGATATGAGACTAAGGTAAGTAGGAAGTAGTATGCCATCCCCACTTTCTCCTTCCTAGTCTAGAGTAGATGCAGAGGATCCATCATGAAATATAGAGGCCTTAGAAGATGGTGAAGCCACACATAAGATCCAAGTGGGTTTCTGAATCATCCCTTGGAGAGACACCCATTTGGACCTTACATGAGGGAAAGATAAAGTATTTTGCTAAACTACAGAGGTTTGACAGTTGTTCATCTCTGTAGATATTGTACTATGGATTCCAAGGGAAAGAGACCCAGTAGTATTTCAGATCTGGTCCCAATCACCTGCTATAGTCTTGGAGACTATTGCTTTCCTTTCCCACCTGCACTAGTTCACCCTCCTGCACAGTTTCTCTATGGTCTGTGTAGGTACACAGCAGCTGGCCTGCTTGTCAAACATCCAATAAATCTGTGCTTGGAACTAAAGTGGTTTTCATCAGAAAGTGACCTTAAGATAACATTTACATTGCTGAAGAAGTTATTCCAAATCTGAACCAGTAGTATCCCAACTCAGGCCCTCCTGGTGGCTTGAGGCAGGAAAGCTAATGAAGTATGGAGATTATTAATGGCTCTATCTTCTCTTTCACCCATCCCCTCTCCTTTTTCAAACTTGCAGTTATGTTCAGCAGTGTCAGATCTGTTCATTTATTTTTGACATATAAATAAAACCTATCCCTTTGGAATTTGCAGAGGAAATGTCCATGTGATTATGTTAGCTCCTGTCTGGAAGCAACCAGAATTGAGCTGGGAAGGCATGGACTTGGGGAAGAAAATCAGCATAGGACCTACCTTTCTCAGGTCAATCACAGTTCCCAAGTGGTCCAAAGTGACAATAGAGGGAAAAATAATTTAGTTTTTCACGGCATCATTATTGGCTACAGCAGTTGTTTTAGAAGACACAAGCATAGCAACAAATTGTAGAACGTACTCACAATTTTCTTGGTCACTGTGATCTTGTGAACTTCTGTTTAGCTGACTTCAAGTAACAAGCAAGAAAAAGTCCTGCAAAGATACTATAGATCAGAAACACTAGGGCATAAATTGCTTTAAAAAATTTAATACTATTTACTCTTTTTAAAATTATAAATAATACTTTTTTTTAGAAAAAATGTAAAAATCCCACAAATTAAGAACAAGGACATACAACTCATACAAGGACATACAACTCATCCCTTATTCTATCAAATTAAGAACAAGGACATACAACTCATACAAGGACATACAACTCATCCCTTATTCTATCATCCAGATATAGCCACTAGCAACCCATAGAACACAGATTGTTTTTGTGACTATGCATAAGTGGATCTATCTATCTATCTATCTATCTATCTATCTATCATATCTATATATAATAATATGTTCCTATATATTATTGTTGTTAATCTACAAAACAGGGACCATATTGCACATTCTGTTTTGTGATCTGCTTTTGTCTCATTGAATAATATTCATATTATGAATCTCTTTTGTCAGTGAAAAGCTTCAGTTGTGTGTAGACAATTCTAAAGTGGTTCCCTATAATCCCTGCCCCTTCCGTGGCTCATCACTGTGTGCAAGCCACTTCCCTGAGCATGGGTTGGACCTCTGACTTACTTCTAACCAGTAGAATAAGCTGAGTGTTGAGCTGTCATTTGGAGATTAGGTGATGAAAAGATTCTGTCTGATGTCTTGCACACCCTCTAGTTTTCTGGCTTGCTTGTTGTGATGAAGTCAACAGTCATATCATAACCTGTCCTATAGAAATGCCCACATGGCAAGGAAGTGAAAGAAGCCTCTGACCTCAGCTGGGGAGGAACTGAATCCAGACAAGCACCACTTGAGTAAGCTTGAAAGTAGATCCAGTCTTTCAAGTCAGGTTTCAAGTTAAACTTCGAGATGACTGTTGTCCATGAAAATTCCTTTATTGTAGTCTCATCAGAGAATCAAAGCTGTACTCAGATCCTACTCGCAGGAAGTGTCAGATAATGTTTGTGTTTTAAGTTGCTGTTTTTTAGGGTATTGGAACCATAGATAACTAGTATAAATGCATAGTTTTTTTTTAATTAGCTGCTTAATATTCCAAGTGTAAGGCTATATTGTAATTTACTCAATCTTTTATTGCTGCACATTTTGACTATATATTTTATTTGTTTTCCTGTTATAAACATTGCTTCAGTGAACAGTGTAGTTATTACATATCTTTATTCTAAAATAAATTTCTCAAGGTGGAATAGCTCTATTTCAAAGGGTATGCGCCGTTTAAGGCCTTTGATATGCTGTTTCTCAATAACTTTATGGTAGGGTTGTACTCATTTATACTCCTGCTGGCTGTAGTTTGGGGTGCAGTTTTGGTTAATTCCAACCATTTCCGTTTGAGTTGTGTCTTCAGGCAAACCAATTAGAAACCAAAACCAAAACTCAAAACAAGAATGAAAAGTAAAGTTGAATCTTGAAATATACTAGATAGCTTGATGTTAAGCAGTTAATTCAAAGTACAATGTTTTGAAAGCAGCCTGATGAATTCAACCATTTGAAATTGTTATTCTTTTCTTTCAGTGAGCACTAAAGCCTGAAACTGATGAAGCTTATAGTCTCCAAGAACTTTGATAGGGAAAGCAACAATACCAAATGTGAAGTCAACATAACAACAGCATAGTTTGAAAACCTTAAGTACATTTCAGTCATACAAGGGATTGTCAACAAATCTAAAATACTGAGGTTGGATAGACTGAATTCAATGGATATTTTTTTGGCAGCATTTTGCTTACAGAGATATTATCACCATCTCCAAACTGCAGCCCTCATTGTTGGGGAAGAATAAATATTTTAATGAATGCTATATATTTTAACGGGCTCTGAACCCAGTGGTTGGTTTAAGCTAAGGGTGCAATTTCAGGCATCTAAATAAGTAAATAAATGAGGAAGAAAATCCATGTTAATTGCAGTAATTTGCGGTACTTTCAAATTCTTAATTAAGAAATAAAATAGGATTCATTAGCCATGCCCACTGTAGATGGCATACATAGATCACCATTATGACCAGTCATGTGGACCTGAAGTCATTGCCATAAATGAAATAACAGTGAGAAATCACTGGTGTATTACTAGCCAGAATGTGCAGGCAGAGAGGGAGGAGAGAAAGCATTGCAAAATGCCTGTCCTCCGTAACTGCTCCTCTTTCTTCCCTGGAGATGGTATTATTCTAAAACCTATCTCCTGACCCTGGATTCCTACTTTTTCTTCCTAATCTTTGGGATAGGTTCTTCCTTTAGGCCCCCTACAAAATGTCTTTGAGTTTGTCTGGCAAACCAACTAGTGCCTGAATCTTCAGCTTTTCCCTGGCCATCTTTCTTAGTGGTTTGGGTGCCTGGATTTCAATTTTTTTCTACCTCATTCTCTTTGTGGGTTTCAGTATTCTTCTACAAAGGAGTGTAGAAGAGAACTTTGGTTATAACCAGAGGCATTCTGACTCATACTGAATTCAGAAAGTTAAGCATTACAGTCAACTAGGGAGAAAATATTTAAAAATATTTTTTGACTAGGACAAATGCTTAACTGGACAGGATATCAGCTACTAACTGGAACTGTTCCTGGAAAATCAGGATGCTAGGTGCCCTAATGAAAATCTATATAGGCTCCCAGGGAGGGAGTGACTACAGGTTTTCAGGCATGAGTAAGAGGGCGCTCTGCTTTGGTGAGGTGAACCATAGGGGTAATATCAATGTGTATCTGCAAGGAAGAACATTGGTGTATCTGCATTAGTGGCTGAGAAGGCTGATTGTTGGGCTTTTGGTAAGACCACTAATGCAGACTGTAGGCAGGCATCAGCTGGTCCCTCCCTTCCTTGCTGTCTTACCCATTGTAGTATCAATACCCAGGCAGGGAGCGAGGCTCTATTAAAGAGATAGGCATGTGTGGGTGTGGGTAGGCAACTGCAGCCACCTCAGTAGTGAGAAGTGTATAGAGAATGAGCAATTTGGAGAAATCTGAATGAATTGAGACAAAGAAAGAAAAGAAAGAAAATCATCCATTTTAGATTTCTAAAAGGAATGTGGAATCTGATCTGGGATTATATATTAATATGTTTTGAGTGGGTAGGGTGGTTATTTGGTATTGCCTATTGACTGGAAGAAAGTCAGAAATGAATATTTGTATCTTTTAAATACCTATTATATCCCCATAGGGAAGACATGAGAATAGTCTGACATGTACTTCTTCTCAGGGGGTTGAGGTATAGATTCCTTGAGTCAAAGGCTCCCTGTCTTTTGAGAGCTATCTACCCTCTGGAAGCTCTTATGAGACATGCTGGACTTTGCTTGGCTGCCCACTTCTTCTACCCCCATCCTAAAGACCCCCATGGAATTTATGGAGGCTAAAATAAGAGCACATGTATTGCAGTACTCTACTTCTAAAAGGATCCTTCCTTCCTGGTTGCATCTGGACAAATGCAGACCATCACAGATACAGGGGTCTACTTCTGTGGGTGATATGAATGACTATTTCCAATCCTTAGAAAAACAAAGCATAGAAAAAATTATTCAGCCCTGAATTTTGTGAAAATATAACATAAAGAAGATAAGGAGTTTTTCCAATCTCTGAAGTAAGGCAAGGAGAAAAAAATTCAAAACGCATCCATGAAAACTGAGGCTGCATACCAGACTAGAGTAAAAAAAGCCCACTATGTGAAGTGTTCTGATAGAATCCACTGTTTCTAGCGCACCAGGTACTCCAACTTGGCTCAGAGAATAAGTGAGAGCAGGATGCCAAGAATATGAAACAAAAATGGGGTAAAAGTGGACTAGAGGTGTCCGAATCGTGAAAAAGGCAATGGAAAGTACGCTTCTTTATAGAGTGGGAAGGAAGAGCCAGGAGGATTCCTTGCTGGAGTTCATTTGAAAGGCTTTAAATGCAATTACGTTTCTACTATTCCATTTGAGATTTGTTACTCATTCCTTCACTTATTCATTTCTTGTAACATATATTTATAGGGCATTTTCTCTTTCCCAGATACAGTATTAAGTGTTAGTTTCAGAGGAAGTCAGTCACAGGTGCACAGAGCTTTAAAAGTACGTCTGCTTTTAATACACCAGTGTTAAGATGGCCCTGCCCCCCTCCTTGAATTCATTCCAAAACAATAAGAAAAATGTGAAACAGAAATGCAAAATTCACCTGTGTTGAAGAAGAGCTGCCAAAAGCAATGAAGTTCCAACCAAGGGCAGGTAGATGTTGAAAGCAGTCTGCTTCCAAAGACCTCAAGCAAAGCTGGCAAAGCCCAGTCTGTGAAAAAGAACAGCGGCAGCACTGCCTTTTGGGGAACAACTGGTCAAAAGAGAATAGGCCCTTGGAGAGAGCGTTCCTGGGCCTCATTTGGCTCTGTTGAGAATGGGGAATAAATAAGAAAACAACTAGACCTGCCATCTAAGCATATCTGCTGGAAAAGAAGACCAGAGAGGAAAAGCTGTGTACTAATCAGTCTTGCAACCCCCAATCCCTTCTTTCTTCTGGAAAGAAGTTAAAGGTTAAATCATTTCTGTACATACACGTATGTGTACACATACACAACAACCCTGAGCAACGCAGGGCACATCCTATAAACAAAAAGGCTGTGCTCAATGTTGTCATAGGTTGGCTGTTATTCCCCATAAACTTTCTCCAGAATTCCTGGTTAAGAAAGAGCTTATCGCAGGCAAATATGAGCCAGAATGAAAAAGAAACCATCAGGAGAGCTCTACAAAGATATTGTAAAAGGAGACTACAACAATCAGAGAAAACAAATTAGAAGACAAACATGTACCAAGTTGTACTGTCATCAAACAAAAGGGAACTACACTAAGATAGCTATCATAGAACCAACAAATAAAAAACAAAGCTTAGGGAACAAGACTACTTACATAAAATAAGAACTTTATGGAGAAATGCCAGGACAACTGAAAGAGGTGTTAAAAATGAGCTAACAGAGCTCAGGAAAAGAGAGGAGAAATAAGAAGTCACCTCAAAAGTTAAGGACCCATCAGAAGCAA